CCCCCAAAACCCCAAAACCCCAAAACCCCAATGTAAATTATAATATTTCACCATATAAAGAGTATAATGGGATTGCATTGATGCTCAGAGAGAGCTAATATGAACAGCAAGTTTGACCGTGTAAGCAAACATTTATTTAAACCCTCAGGATGACTCGGCCTTAACTCTAGTATTACTCTTTGTTTTCATTCAAATGCTATGGTGTGTGATAGCAATTTGGTGGCCCATCCAAAAAGTTACTTAACAAATGAGGGTTTTTGGCTAAATTTTTTGTCTTTCTTACAGTGAAGACTTATCTGAGTTTCTTACTATTTTTAATAAACTTAAAATTCTACACCAGAATTTAAGAAGTTCTCTATTGGTTCTTAATGACTGGAAGCATTAAAGATAGCTAAGCAAGTGCATAATCATCATGATAAAGCATTGTGCAAATTTTGGATAGCCTTAGCTTCAAAATTAGCTCATGCTTTCTCACAAATATTTAGGAATAGAATAGGGTAGCATATAAAAATGTCTTCGAATAGGATCCCTATCTTGACCTATATAGTTTGCTATTTCTTTCAGAGGAGAGGTGGATGTTCGAACAGCTGAGATTTATGTTGAAGTTTTGAGCATAGATGTTGCATAACAACTCATTTTAAGCTAGGTTAACTTTTGCAATGGCCATTATAAAATTATTTTAAGGTCATTGTTATACCAAAAAGCCGACTCTGGTCTAGCCTCACTACTATCAGCTATAGATATCTTTATACAACCAAAATAGAGCTTGCTTTATTATGTAGATACTTTACTTAATTCTTAAGAAAGATCAGCTATTGCATCATTGGCCATAAATATTTTGGGTTCTTTAATCTCCCTGAGTCTTCTGTACAGAAGTAAATGTTATATAGAATGATGATTTTGATCAATATGCAATTCCTCAGTATGCAAGCGTTGGAGAGAAGAGCATCAACCTCCAACTCTCAGATCTTTCAGAAAGTAAGTATTTCGAAATTGGTGTAATGATTATTTATTGATCCCATAGATGAGACAGCTGATCAATGAAACGGAGATATCGAGAAGCTTAAAAGAATTCTCAACTCTACTAATATAGCACACAATAATGATACTATGGAGTAAGGATTTTTAAAATCTCAAAAATCTCACCAGTTTTCTGAATAGAGCAATGAGCGAACTTCATAATGAATCTGCAAAGCTAATAAATAGAAAAAGTACAAGAAAGTAAGCTAATCTGAAGCTAACCTCCTGCAGGCAACAGAAGAGGACTATCAGAAAACTTAACAGAGGAAGAAACAATAGAGGTTTTGCTAAATCCTAATGCTAAAATTAGTAATAATTTATTATTAAAGCTCTTCATTTTGCTAAATTCTGAAAATCTTTCACTTCTACCTTCCTTGGGCACAAATATGTGGCTTATTCTAACTATCAAAGGTGTTATTTTTGGGGGTTGAAGAATTCAACAAAGAACTTTAGATATTATTCAGTAATTGGTTTAAAATTTTGGTGAGCTCGTCTATTTCGAAGAGCCTCACTTTTTGTAAAAACTTTCAGCGTATTTGTGTAAAGAGTTTGCAAATAAGCTCTCTGGAGGCTTATAATTATTCTGCATTTCGTAGGTTTATGTGCTGAGTTGCCTTTCTATCATGCCAATTCTCTTATCATCACAGTGTTTCTCTTTTTCAAAAAAACTTAATTCTGATATTGAAACTTGGTGAAATAGCACTCATGTTTATCTAACTAATTTATACTATCAGTTGATAGATTTATTTCGCCGTTTTCAAAAAATAGATGTTGTCATGAGGCTAGATCTCATTATTAGAAAGCTTCTTACCAATAAAGCTATCCTAAACACAAACCTGAGGATTTCTCAATCGTCTGAATGTAGATTCTTGCTAAAACTTTCTCAAATATTGTCACTAACCTTACTAAATTCCAAAAACTAATATCTATATTCTTCGCTTAAATACAACATGTGATAAAGCTAACCCTTGAATTACTTAAATCATACCTCCTTTTATTGATCAAAGCTCTTCAACACATCCCTCAAGACTAAGCTAACTCACACTCGCATTCAAAGAGAGTTTAGCCTTTTCCCAGAGACTCTAATTTCACCTATCTTAGCAGAATTTTGAGCACTTTTAGAGTGGCAGCATGGTCAATGGAAGAAACTCAATTTGTTATATCTTGAAGCAGAGCTCTAATTGACTAAGTCTGAAGCTACTCTTAAGAATATATGTCTCCATATCAAACCTTTAGTAATTCTAGAAGCGTATTTATAAACTTATTAGGCATTTGAATTAAAACAATTGGTTCTGAAAGATTACTAAAGGTTTATTAGATAATTCAAGACCTATGTTTCGGAATTATAAGGATTTTAGAGTATTCTCAAATTAGAGCATTTGGGGTAATATTCGTAGAGAGATTCTTCTGATCAAAGAGAGGCTTTTAATCTCTTCTTTGGTGGAAAAGCTTTGAGGATTTATTATTTCTTTTTCTGGAAAATTTAATACAGGATCTGGATTAAGGAAATGTCAAATTTAAGCTCAGAGGCTGAGCATGCTTAATTATTCTATAAAAATGGTTTTAAGGCTCTATACAAGAGTGGAATGATAGAAGGAATTGAATATTTTCAACTCATTAGAAGGATCATAATTATTTCATTAAATTGGTATGATATCCCAATTTCTGCAGAGGTACATCCGTTTTAACTTTCTACAAATAGCTGAAGAATTGACTTCATCTTAACAGTTAAACGAAAAGGAAAAAGGTTGGAGAGTTAGAGGAGGAGAGTCTGATTTAATTTGCATAGATTCTTCATAAACCTATTTTTACCTAGTTTAGTCTCTGCCAAATAATTTTTCTTGGTAGGGTGATAGATGTTTCTAACCAAACAAGAAATTTATAAAGAGCCCAAGCTAATCCGAGTCAAACCCATTATTCCATGTTTGCTAACTATTTCTCCTTCATTTCTTTGTTGAGATACGGTAGGTTTATCACCATTTTTAGAGAATTTTAATAAATTCTATCTCTACAAAGCTGGAGCATCATACTAAGCTCATAAAGTCAGATGCAGTAATCCTGATGAGTTAGAAAATTTATTATTTCATTTATTTATCGATGCATAGAGCTATGAAACCCAAGGCATCCAACCAAGAGAGTGAGCTGTGCTTCTAGCCAAACAATGCTTTTAGATATTGCTCTCATCAAAACTCACAAAAAAATCTTTCTGTTTTGAGGTTTTCTTTGTTTATAATTTAAACAATTGTTTCCCTCAGTACCAAGTTTTCTGAAATAAACAAGGAAAGAAAATACAAATTTTAGCTCTTGATAAAAACTTCTCCTCAAAATATAGTCTCCTCTGATTTTGCTGATAATTACAATTTTTAAATGTAGACTCTCTTTAGATTGATAATCATCTGAATTTAACCTAAAGAACCATTAAGCCCAATACAGATCGCTCAATTCTTAATTATTGGGACTATAAAACCCTAAAACTAGTGGACTAACATTCCCCTCAAACAGACGTCTTTGAACAGAAAGAAGTCACAAATACTATTCAACCCCAAACAAACCCTAACAATTTACAAGCACCAAACGAGACACCTCCCTATTAGACCCTACCTCCCTCTTAGCTGTGTGCCATCTCACCTAAGCCATGTGTAAAACTGTTCAAATCCACTGCAGGCCAGTCTGTGGCCTGCACAACCCCACAATCCCAAAGGTCTGTCCTACTAACTAGCTGTGGTCTTCTGGGCTGCTGAGTGGCGCTGCAAGGATAACCTTACAGAACACAATTCTGGCAAAAGAGGAAAACTTTGGGAAAGGGACTGGAAAAGAGCAAAAGAAGGTGAGGGCTTATGGGTTTTAGGGGTGGTGGAAGAAGAGTTTGGGGATATGAAGTGAGGGTAGGGTTATTTAGGGTATTAATTAGTGATTTAGGAGTTTATAGAGGATAATTTGGTTTTATGGGATAATTTATTTACATTTTATTCTTTATTTTTACTTAGATTGATTTCTTGAGTTATTCATTGCGTTTTTTTTATATAAGTCTAATAATAACTCGTTTCAGCTAAATTGTCTTAATAAATTTTCTTCTTAGAAAAGTCAAATATATCCAAAGTTGCTTGTTATCTTAAGAAGCTTCAAAACCAAAAATTGTCTCTTTTTAAAAACCATGTCTTTCAAGCCTTCTTCAATACACTAACAAAGATTAATCTCAAATCCATCAACCATAACTTTCCCACTTAAGCCCAGATTTGACCTCTTACTCTTCAATCCATTTACCACTTTACAATTTTCGACTGTTCTCTTACTCCTCCTCTTTCACAAATTCCGCACTTTATCCCAGTAATCATAACCAAATCTCCACTCAAAACTCTATCATCAGTGCTAAAATTAAACTTTTTGTATAAAGCCAATTTGATGCAATTTTATTCTATCAACCCCTCTACCTCCTCTCGGGGTTTTGGGGTTTTGGGGTTTTGGGG